ACTCTGCCCCATCATTTGCCACCGTGAAAAGATGGGTAGCTGAATTTAAACGTGGTCGTACCAGCTTAGCTGATGATGAGCGTTCGGGACGGCTAACAACTGCAACCACCACCGATAACATCGAAGAAATTCATTAAATGATAATGGTCAACCGTCGAATTAAGATTAGGGAGATAGCAGAGGCTGTTGGCATATCAAAAGAACGTGTTTGTCATATATTGACTGAAGAATTAGGCATGCGTAAGTTAACCGCGCGTTGGGTGCCGCGCTTGCTCACTCTGGATCAAAAACGCATTCGAATGAACATTTCTAAGGCTCTGTTGGAGCGGTTTAATCGAAACGAGTCGGATTTTTTGCGTTGATTAATAACGGTTGATGAAACTTGGGTCCATCACTTCACTCCTGAAACGAAAGAACAATCAAAACAGTGGAATGCAAAGGATAAACCTGCTATGAAGAAAGCGAAGACGGTTTTATCGGCGGGAAAAATGATGGCGACTGTTTTTTGGGACAGTCATGGAATTGTGTTGATCGACTATTTTGAAAAAGGTAAAACAATAACAGGGACGTACTACGCATCATTGCTTGACAAGCTGAAGGCAGAAATTGAAAAAAAAAAACAACCGCATTTGAAAAAGAAGAAAGTGCTGTTCCATCAAGATAACGCACCGTCTCACACTTCGGCGGTCGCTATGGCAAAAATTCACGAATTGCGGTTCGAATTAATTGATCATCCACCGTATTCACCAGATCTGGCCCCCAGCGACTTTTTTCTGTTTGCTAGGCTCAAAGTTTGGCTCGGAGGACAGAAATTTTCATCGAACGAGGAGATCATCGCATCCGTAGACACTTATTTCGCAAAGCAAGACGCTCAGTATTATTTAAATGGATTAAAGGGGTGGGAGCATTGCTGGAAAAAATGTATCGATTTAAAAGGAGATTATGTGGAAAAATAAAATTGAATTTGATCGAAAAATTACTTGTTTCTATGTTAGAAACTTTTCAGACGACCCTTGTGTTATTCTTAGTGCACAAAATATAAAAGTCGTTTATTGAGATTTGGAATTTATTCCAAAAAAGCAACATTTGCGGGAAGTTTTACTCCATTATTTTATTTTAAAGAAAAGTGCTGCAGAATCGCATCGTTTGCTAGTAGATGTTTATGGTGAGCATGCTCCATCGAAAACCAGTTGTAAAGAATGGATTCGGCGATTCAACAGTGGTGATTTTGACGTGCGTGACAAGGAACGCGAAGGTGCCGAAAAATATCACCGAAAAAATTTGAAGATGCAGAATTGCAAGCATTACTCGAAGAAGATTCATGTTTATCGCTCGATAGATTGTCAAAAGAGTTAAATGTTGATAGATCCACTGTTGGAAAACGTCTACATCATTAGTCACCCCTATATTTCGAAACAATAACACTCAAAATAGGGTGGATCACCATCGAATCAAAGTCCGAAAAAACAGCGTACCTTAGGTATGATATATAAGAGCCCTTCGCGAGGACAGTAAGCACAGTTGAATATTAACTTAATCACTCGCGAGACGAAGTGCTGCCCGAATTACTATCATTGGTGCGGAGTTCTCGCGATCAAGTGCGTACCACCAGCTGGCGGTCCTCCCGTCTAAGGGAAGCGCTGAGAAGCCAACTCCGACCGCTGATCCTGCGAGGACTCCTTCCACAAGGACTCATTAGACTTTCTCTCTCTCTCCGCCAAAACCGTGAGTAATTACTTCTTCCACGAGGATCTAAAATTCGCAAACACCCCCTCTCCTTTTTTTTGCAATCGCTTAAGACTCACCTCTCTATAATTATTTATAATTCTCTGTCGTGCTCTTCCCTTTTCTTCTTTCACACTTATTCCTTTTTTTC